AGCAACTGTCACCATTCTCCTGCCAGGACATTGTCTTCAAAACACACATCCAGGTCCTCTCCATTACAGGGACCTGGGACAGAGCTCCTGCAGGCTGGGTTGTGCAGATGGCTTTCCCTGCTACAGGTCTAACTGAAGATGCTGACACCAGGAATATACTGTCCCTATTACCTGTCCCTGAGAGCCCTGGACCCCTATGGAGCTCAAAATGTTTCCCTTAGCATCAACCTCCTCACCTCCCCACCCCTACTCAAAAACAACTCTGTGTGTGTGTGTGTGTGTGTGTGTGTGTAAACAACAACTCTGAACTGTCCTCAGGCTGTCTCCTTGGTCACTTGCCCCTGCACAGTAGAGTTGATACAGCAAAGGGACAAAGGTAGAAGCTTCCTAGACCAGCAGCGCCCACCTCTCTCCACAGAGCTTAGCCCACTGTGCCGCAGAGCTACGTGGTATGCTTCTGACTGCTCAGGGAAGACCCTGATGTTGCTGAGAAGCTTCCAAAAGGAGTGGGCACTGGGGCTGTCAGCCAGCTCTGGTCTCATAGGGCCTTTTGAAGTTGAACACTGGGACCCTCCCGGAAGCCACAAGGATCTCTTCTTTATCCCAGTCCTGTACACCTGGGTCCTCCAGGCTCTGGGGGATGGCCACCAAGGACCAAGCATGGCTGGCTGTCTTGTCCCCTAAATTGCTTGAGAGTAGCATCCTGAGTCCCCAGAACTTTACCTTGTCTTTAAGGGAAGTCAGTTGCCTTCAGTGTGGGTCATTTCTTGCAGGGGTGGCTTTCTCGTGTGTGTCCCCTCCCTTCCTCCTACCACCCCTCCTTCCCTGCCTTCCTGTTTGTCATGTTCTTTCTCCATCCAGAAGATACTAGAGTTTCCATTCTAACCATGAGCTGTGCCAGGGTGAAGGACAGAGACTTCCCTGAGGCCTTGTAGTAGGATGGAGGAGGGAGCTGCTTCATGGTCACAGGACCGTAGGGGTCAGTTCCTAAGTATTGACAATGCCTCCACTGGGAACCAGGGCTCCTGGTGGCCCATAGTCTCATCCAGCTCCCCGTTTCTCAGTCTCGCAGTCAGGCCTGTCTCTAGGTCTCCGGGAGGCAGGATGTACTCAGACTGTGTGTGTTTTCTCACCACATCCAGCAGGAAGCGTGGCTGTGTGCAGCAGAAGGAACACAGAACCAGACTGGAAGGCCTTGGGTTCCCCAGAGCTCCCTGGGACGGGGAGGGGCAGGCACTCAGTGGCACAGGCTCTGCAGCAGGAACAGATCTACCTTCCCCACGCCAGGAGCAGAAGGGGAGCTCTCAAGGATCCAATGGTACATGCCAGAGTAAGCTGGCCTCAAGCAGTGACATGTGTCCATGTCAAGAGAGGCCAGGGCACCTTGACAATGCACTGAGATGTCTCACAGCAGGGGGAGGGGCTGCCCCCCCCCAAGTACTTGAGAATTACCTAAGCACAGAGCTTGCTTAAGTTCTTGGAACTGCCTGGCTACTGAGGGAATGTGGAAACTGGCTAAGTCATCCCCTGGGGCCTGTCCTGGGTACCAGCTCCCCAGCACCCCAGCACCCCAGCACCCTGGCACCCTGGCACCCTGGCTTCTAACTTTGTACTTTCATCTGGAACCCAGTTAATGTCTCTGTTAAACCTGGAAACATTTTCTTAATGACAAAATAAATCAAATCGTAGGTTAAAAGTCTCTTGAGCAGAGAAAAGCAGATGACGGCGTTGTGTGGGCAGTTGCCCAGAGGACACAGAACTTGCATCTCCTGAGTGGGTGGCCTTATAAGGGCAGGTTCAGGAGGAGAGTGGGCAGGAGGGAGGGCCACCAGCAGTGGCAGGAGCCCTGGAGGCTGGGGTGGGTGCCTCAACTGTGCAGGGTAGGGAACCAGCAGGCTTTCTTGACCAGGACCCAGTTCTGTAGGGGAAGCTAGTCCAATAAGCCCCAGGGACCCCTGCTGGACCCTTTTATTGCTGCCATCATTAGCCTAGACAGTGGCCTGTGTCATGCCTGCCTCACAAACCAGCTCAACTCTAGCAGCTCACTGAAGGATTGAGACCATTTCCTCCTGTTCCCAGATGATTGGTATATATACATACATACATACATACATACATATATATATATATAGAGAGAGAGAGAATTGATGAATGTATTAAAAGAAATAAATGATAAAAGCAAGTAAACAAAACAAAAATCCTACGGCCTCATCTAACCTAGGCTGGCCTCAAACCCTGGATGTAACTGAGAATGAATGACCCTGAATTTCTGACTCTCTGCCTTTACTTCCTAAGTGCTGTAATTCTCAGGATGAAACTCTACTCCTGTTTTATGTGGTGCTGGAGTTTGTATCCAAGGCTTTTTGCATGCTAGGCAAGAATTCAACCAATTGACCCACACCCTAGCCATATCCCCAGAACCAAATCAGTTGTTTTTTGGTGGCAGCTTTGGCTCATGGCCTGGGTAGCAGCTCCTGAAACACAAGGCAGAACCCCCTCACAGGCACCAATGCAGAGTTGAGGAGAAGCAACACAGCGCATTTGGAGTGGGACCTGTTAGTGAAGAGAGCAGAGCCACCAGTTTCTGCCTTGTGCAAACCACCCTTGACCCCTGAGTGAAAGCACATGTACCCCAAACTTCCGCTGGGTAGTGCGTATAGCAGGGTTTCATTTCCTAAAGTGGGAGGGAGGAAGGTGTAGAGGGAGAGAGGACGAGGGGAGAGGGAGTGGGAGAAACATGGGGCAGAGACTGAGAGATTCTCTTGGAGATCCCTGCTTGCTTGTGCTCCTGTGACATCATACATACGGGCAAAGGAGAGGTGAGGCCCCAGAGGTGCCTGCACTGAGGGTGAAGCCCGGGGTCCTCCCTAGCCTTCACTAGAAAAGACTTCCCTGAGACCTCGAAGCCCAGATCTTCCTCATAAGTAGGTATCACGGTCACGGTTGAACAGCTGGCATATGCCCCTTCCTGTGGCCAGCTTTCACTGTGCCTAAGACCCACGATAGCAGAGGGCCATGTGCCCTCTGTGGAGACCAGCAAAGACTTCTCTAACAGCAAGCAGACAGGCCGGGGGCCACAGCACGGACTTCAGCTTAGGGAGTATGGAGGGAGAGGGCTGACAGATGGGGAAGATCTTGGGAGAGACTTAGGCCTCCTGAGTTCTCCACTCCAACTAAGATCTAGAGGGTGTGTCTCTCTCCACTGTCCCCTGCATGGAAAGGTCAAGGCTGAGAGGAGGTTATGGCAGCACCTTGGCCAGCACTCCTCCCGTGAAAGCTGCAGGAGGCCGACTCCCACTGAAGCCAGAGCAGCAAGGCTCCTCCAGATGGAGCTGTGCCAGCGAGGGCCAGCCTTAGGAGGGACTGACCTACCTGCACTTCAGCCAGTGGAACTAGGAACTCAGGGCCTCACGGACAACCTGCCTCGACATCATCCCATTCTAAAACAGGAACGTCCCATGTACAATGCAAGCCCAGATGGTTACTTTAATCACATGTCATGTGGGGGAAGCACTGCCCCCATGAGGCAGGCTGAAGAACAATTCCCCAAAAGGCTCTATTCTAATTCCTGGAACCTGTGAACTGTCATTTCTATGTAAAAAGGTCTTTGCAGATTGATGAGCCTAGGCACTGTGAGAAGGCAGATCATCCTAGATTAGCCCTGCGGGCCCAGGGTAATCACCAGAGTGCATCAGAGGAAGTAGCCAAGGGTGAGCTAGACAGAGGATATTTTGTGCAGTTTCCTGGGGGCATAATGAGGTTGAAAGCTCGGTCTGAAATAGCTGCTGAGACAACTGTCCTGTCAGATCAGGGGCTTCCTTTTCGCCCCACTAGCATGCATCTCTCAGGACTTAGTGGGGACCAGGAGAGGGGACAACGCCTAAGAGGACAGTGGGATGGCGAGAGGCACAGCTGGATTTGCCTCTTGGCGGGCTTGGCTTTGCCTGGGGCTTGGACTCTCCCATCCTTTGGCCTCCCCTGTAGGGGTCATCTTGTCCAGACCCCATTCAGGTAGCCTGGGTTTGTCATCTGCTGGTATCTCAGGAGCCTTAGTATTAGTCTAGAGCCACCATTTTCCCAGGTGGCCCTTCCACAATCCTTCTTTTGGGCTACTCTCTTCAGCTCTGCTGGTCAGAGAGGCTGGGTCCCTGGGGTGGGGGCAGATTTGCTCAGGTTCTGAGTTTGGTTACAGAATGAGGTCATGTTAGCTGGGGAAACGGATGAGAAAACCAAGGACATTTCTGAATCAGAGGTTTCAGCCGATGGTCGCTCTGTTCCGTAGTTTGGGGGCCTGTGGTGAGGCACAACATTGTGGCGGGAGTCCTCGACAGAGCAAAGCTGATCACGTAACAGTGACTGAGAAGTGGAGACGAGAGAAAGGGCCAGGTCCTCTGCAGGACACGGTGTAACTTCCTTCCACCATTCCCTGACCCCAGCGCCATCCGCCAGGGGCTGTCTTAAATGTGAACCTGGCAGCAGCACTTAAGCAAATCGTCACAGCTGGTGTTTGCTAAATGACAGGGAGAAAATATACGTGAATGGGCTGGTGGAGCCAGTGCCACAAGCATCCTATGCCCTATCCCACTCAACATCGCTGAAAAGTTTCAATGTTTTATGAATGAGAGACTGAAGCAGAGAAGATGAGCAACTTTCAAAAGATCACACAGCTTGTTAGCAGCAAGGCTAAGCTTACAGTCCCATCTGATTTCAGAGTCCATGCTTCAAACTCTATTTTCCCATCTTCTAAAAAAAAAATAGTTAAGGGGGTGTGACTTGTGAGACACCACCCCTCCCTGAGGATCCATACTATAGATCCTATAGGCAGTTAGTAACTGCGAGGGAGAGACATTTTCTTTAGTGTAACTACTAGTAAATTGCCCATGCTCCTGTCAGCATCCCTAATCAAACGTACAAAGTCATTATATAAAATGAATGAAATATAAAAAACACCAAACAATATTTACTGTAAAGTAACAATTTTCCTGCTGTCTCGTTTGTAGTTTCCCAGGGGTGAAGACGGAAGATCTGGCGGCAGAAGGAAAGGATGGAGCAGTGAGCGGTTGGTGGGCCTGCCAGCTGGTCACCGCTAGTTCAATGGACTCTCTAAAAGTGGCATTCTGCGCCAGATTAACTTAAGAGGAACATGAATTCAGACTTTATTTTACTCTTTTCCAAGTCAGGTTGATTTTTAGCAACAGACTCATGACCAACTTTATGCTCTCTAGCTGATTTTTTCAAATACTTCCTTGTGCAGTGCCTTCAGCTTACTCAAAGCAAGTTAAAAGGCCAGGGAGCATTTTTATTTTGTTTTGTTTTTGTTTTTTGGAGACAGGGTTTCTTTGTAGCTTTGGAGGCTGTCCTGTAACTTGCTCTGTAGACCAGGCTGGTCTCAGACTCACAGAGATCTGCCTGCCTCTGCCTCCTGAGTGCGGGGATTCAAGGTGTGTGCCACCACCACCCCAGGGAGTAGTTTCAATGTGATTTCAAGCTTACTGGCACTGAGACTTAGCAGAAAGCACAAAGGAACTCGGTGACCTTCAGGAGACCTGGATAACTGGCATAAGATTTTTTTCTCTTTTGGGGCCCTGCCATCACAAATGAATCACACGGAATCTTATTATTACTTATGAATGTCTGACCTTAGCTTGGCTTGTTTCTAGCCAGCTTTTCTTATCTTAAATTAACCTGTATACCTTTTGCCTCTGGACTTTTCCTGTTTCCTTACTTCTGTAAATCTTACTCTTACTCCATGAATTGCTGGGTACCTGGGAGGCTGGGTGGCTAGGTGGCTGGGTGGCTGGCCTCTGATGTCCCCTCCCCCTGTTCTCTCATTGATGCCCTTCTTCTGATTGTCTCCTTCTATTTATCGTCTCTGCCTGTCAGCCCCATCCATCCTTTCTCCTGCCTCACTATTGGCTGTTCAGCTATGTATTAGGAGCACCAGGTGTTTTTGATGGGCACAGTATCACAGCTTCACATGGTTAAACAAATACAACATAAGCAAAAGTCACACAACTTAAAATAATATTCCCCCACAGGTAACAGTCCTGAGCCTGCTGTCTCAGCTGCAGAAGTCCCCAATAAACACTGAGCAAGGGAGTGAAGTGCTGAGAGACATGGGCACTTTCCCTGGGTTTTCCACAGGCCTCTGCTCCAGCTCTGTTTACAGAACAAAGAGAATGAAAGGTCTGAGTCCTGGTAACCATCAGAGACCTTCAGTGGGCTGCTGTGAGAGGCAGGGGCATCAGTGGTATGGCCTGTGACCTCTTGCCTGAATCGCAGGCCACTCCAGCAACTGGTCCTCTCAATCGCTTGAGACCTCTTAAATATAAGCTTCTGGTGACTAGAGAAAGCTGTTGTCCCAATCCCCAAAGATAACAGGCTGGTATCCGACCCAGATTATCTAGAGGGTCATGCACGTGGGTCATGGACCTGCTGCATTGCAAAGACCTTCAGAGAGCCTCAGATATCAAACATGGTTGGACAGCTACCTGGGAGACTGAGGTCATAGAAGGATCACACAAGCTCAAAAGTTCAAGATCAGCCTGGTAAAACAAAACAATACAATTCTAACCAACCAACCAACAACAAACCCCCAAATTCCTACAGGCTACCCATCTGTGTTTTCTGAGTCAGATATAAGGTGCTGGACCCAGGGATTCCCTAAGGATTCTCATGAAGAGGAGCCAGGTCTGGAAAATGTAGACCTGGTCAGATTCCTTTGTTTTAAGTTTGAGATAGGGTCTAGTTATGTAGCTCAGTCTGTCCTGGAAATAGCTCTGTAGACCAGGCTGGCCTTACACTCACAGAGATCCACCTGCCTCTGCCTCCTGAGTGCTGGGACTAAAGGTGGCTTATCTGAGAAACAGTTTCTCTCCACTTGCTGCTTCTAGAAAGCAGCAGCTACTTCCACCTTGGCATTCTGTGTGCTTCAGGGTGAGCGTGCCCTGCTTTGTTAGTCTTGTTAGGTTTGGTTGGTTGGTTGTTTTTTTGAGACAGGGCCTCTCTGTGTATCCCTGGAACTCACTCTGTAGATCAGGATGGCCTGGAACTCACAAAGATCTGCCTGCCTCTGCCTCCCAAATGCTGGAATTAAAGACTTGTGACACCACACCTGGCTTTAGTCTTATTAGTTTTTGTTTTGTTTTGTTCCCTGATCCCCCAGTCAGGGTTTCAGTGTGTGTGGTAGTTTGAATGTAATTGCCCCATAAGCTCATAGGGAGGGCCATTATTAGGAGGTGTGGCTTTGTTGGAGTAGGTATAGCTTTGTTGAGGAAGTTCGTCTCATATGCGCTCAAGTCACACTCAGTGTCTCAGATCACTTCCTGTGGATCAAGATGCAGCCCTTTCTCCACTCTCAGCTCCTTCTCTAGCACCATGTCTGCCTGCACGCCGTCATGTCCTGGTATGATGATAATGGACTAGACCTCTGAACTGCACACACCCAATTAAATGTCTTCCTTTATAAGAGTTGAGGTGGTCATGGTGTCTCTTTATCACAATAGAAACCCTAACTAACACAGAGTGTAACAGCCTTGGCTGTCCTGAAGCTAGCTTTGTAGAGCAGGCTGGCCTTGAACTCACAGAGATCTGTGGGTCTCCGACTCTAGAAGGCTGGGATTAAAGATGTGGGCCACCACCACCACCACCACCTGGTTTGTCTTATTAGGTTTTAATAATGCAGTTAGGATGAGTGGTGGGTCTGGCACTTCACTGGTCATCCATGCATCACAGAGTGTCCTGGCTTGTCATTGGGCACAGGTGACCAGCTCCTCCAGGGCTTGTTCACGCCGATTGCCATGGACTAACAGCACCTCCTTGATCCGGTCTTGCTGGAAGCCCATGTCACTGAACTGCTGCCAGAGACGCAGGAACTCCCCTGCCTGAAGAGGAGGGAGACACGGTACTCCATTACTGCAAGGCTGCCTCAGTCCTGGGCATCCCCCTCCCTAGTGCCCACTGTACTTCAAACCCTTCACCAGGGAAGCCTGTCCCTGGGCTATGCCTGTCATTTTCCTCTTCCTCTGGGGACACAAGCTCCACACTTTCTTCCTCTACCAAGGAACAAAGGCCCCCAGTCTTGCTGAGGCTCCATGATCTGGCTCACTCTGATTCCCTGTGATTGGCTTTAGTGCTGTGAGGACTGCACAGCAGGTCTGGGAGGCCACAGAGGCTGAACCAGGGGTGCTGCCTGTGTGCTGGTACTGCTGGGTTTTACTCTGCTCTGCCTTTGCTGAAGACTCCCCCTGTGTTTTCTTCTCTGCTCCTGTGAATTGCTGCCCCGTTACTGAGGCGGGTACTATCATGGGCATTTGTTTCTTTCCATAGGGCCTGCAGCTCTGTGGATGCTGTAAGGGCACAAACTCCCTGAGTTCAAGCATCTCCAGTGGGCTCCAATCTCAAAACTGTAAGGCACTCAATAATATGTGGTGTGTTGACTCGGTCACCTATAGAAAAGCCCCCGCACCACCACCTCCAGTTGCCCTCTCAGCCTCTTCATTCTCTGTCTCCCACCTTTGGCTGTACTCCACTGGCTAGGTCAGAACTCCCTCCCCAATATGAGCAGTCCAGTTCTCTCCTGATCAGCCCACAGGCGGCTCTGCGGTCATTGCACCCCTGCACCTCATGCTTCCCCTCCCTGGGCCCAGCTGACCTGGTGCTCGGAGAACTGGAACATCTCCATGGCCTCGTCCACCAGGGCCTCATCGTAGCCCTGCCGCAGCAGCCTCTCACAGGCACTGAGGTAGCCGAGAAACTGGGCCAAAGAGGGCAGATGGGGAAGGATGGTAAAAGGAGGGGCAGGGACATGCTAGGGAGTCACCCCAGGACCTCCCCAAGACCATGCAGCTGGACGGCCCATCACAGGAAACGGGAGCCAATAGAAGAGGCTTCCTGTGAGAACCAGCAGATGAGTGACAACAGGTCCTCAATAAATGCCCCAGGTTGAGGGATAGAATCCAAGAAAAGGGCTGCTGAAATGTTCATAGAGCCTAAGTGGGGTACAGGACAAGCTCTAAACAAGTAAGTCAACCCCACCATAGCCACCACATGTACTCCCATGACAACCCATCCTTCTCAGAGGAACACCCAAATGTAAAAGGAACCTCCTCAGCCACCCATCTCTATGCACCCCTCCCCAGACACACCTGTCACCTAGGATGAGTAGAGCGCCCACCAGGAAGCGGTCTACACCAGAGCTGGGGGAGGGAAAGTGGCAGGAGGAAGTTCTCCAGGGGCTGAAAACTTGTTCTAATCACACACACACACACACACACACACACACACACACACACACACACGCATTATGTCATCAGAGACTTGTTTTGCCTTCATTAGGACCATTAGATCATTAGATCAAGGCTGGCCTGGCTACACAGTGACCTCGAGGCTAACCAGTAACACAGAAGACCTGTCTCCAGCTGGAGAGATGGCTCAGAGGTTAAGGGTACTGGCTGTTCTTCCAGAGGTCCTGAGTTCAGTTCCCAGAAACCACATGGTGTCTCACAACCACCTGGGCAGAACACTGTATACATAATAAATAAATAAATCTTAAAAAAGAAAGACCTGTTTCAAAAAACTAACAGCAACCAAAACCAAAATAAGTGATGCCTTAAGGTAGCTAAGTTGGTAGAGTGCTTGCCTAGCATGTATGAGGTTCCATCCCCAGAACCAAAAAACTGGGCACGATGGTGCCCTGGGAGGTGAAGACAGGAGGATCAGAACCTCAAGGTCAAGGCTAAGGAGATAGCTCAGGGGGTAAGAGCACCTGCTTCATAAATGTGAGGACCTGAGTTCAAGTGCCCAGCATCCATACAAAATTCGGACACTACCACATACCAGATGCTTTGTCACCTCAGCACCGTGGGACGCAGAAGCAGAATGCCTGGGACTTGTTGCCTGCCAGCCTAGCTGTGGTTCAATGAGAGATCTTGTCTCAAGGGAATAAGGCGGAGAGTGGCAAACCAGGATATTTTATCTGCTCGCTCATGCATTCACGAGTGTCTGCCCCTGCTCACATATACCACACGCACCCACACACTCATGAACATGCACACACTTGTAAGTTAAAGATCTCATTCAGCTACATAGTGAGTTTGAGGCCAGACCAGTCACATGAAACCCTGTCTCCAGAACAAATGTGCTGCCTTTTCACAATACCCCATCCTGCCCACAGCCTCAGCTTCCTCCTTTTCTCTAGGCCTCCATGCAGCTCCCCCATCCAAGACCAGCCTCATTCTCCTCCCAGGAGGCCTCTCTGCAGAGTCCGTCTTTATTGGGCCATCCTTGGGGCTCTTAGGCCCCACCCACCCAGTGCAGTGCACTTTATATTTGTGTCCACTCGTGTTTGGCACACAGTGGAAGGTTAGTCTGTCACCACTGCATCCCCAACTCTAGCAGGGGAAGCAAAGTAGCACAATAAACACGTCATGTTCATAAAACCATTTAAGAACCGCCTTCAAGGAACTCACAGCTTAGCAGAAGAGATAAACCAGACTTGGGGGACTATGCCAGTGCTGGGCAAATCAAAGCAGGGTTTATAGGGGACAGGTGCCAGATAAAAGCTCTAGGCCGTGAGCACCACGTGTGTAGCTGGGAAGGATTAGGTCAAATTTCTGCTGACCTTCAGAGCCGCTGAGAGCACAGATCACACAGTCTAGCCCTGTGGTTTCCAAACTCTTGGAGCTCTGGTCTGTTTGTCCCAGCCCAGAAGCTTCAGCAAGAAGCAGCTAAGAGCAGGCTGCCTGAAGCTGGAGGCCTACGGCTGCAGGAGCCCAGAGTCCAGTGCTTCCCAGGGAGGAACTACAGGACACGTAGACCTAACTCTGAGCACATTTAGAAAGTCTTTCACTCCAACCCTTTCCACAGATAAGGACATGGAGGCCCTGGCAGAGATGATGGTTGCCAGAGTCCCAGAACGAGGGTCCATATTATCTGACCTTTCAAGGCCTCTTAGTCACACTGATCAGTTGAAGTGGGCTGTGGGGGGAGGGAGGGTGGGCTCTGAGCTGACATGACAGTGGACAGGGACTTGGGAGAAACTGTCCTCCAGAGAAAGGGAGAGTGGACAGGGCAGACGGTGGATGCTCCTGTACAGCAATGCTCTCAGCCTCAGTGCTTGTTGCAACTGTTCTGGGAGCTTTGAAAGCTTCTAATGGGGTCTCACCGCAGAGGGTCTCATATAACTGGTTTGGGACAGAGCCTGGACTTTGGGACAAGCTTGCAGCTTGCCAGGTGATTTTTGCTGTTGTTTATTTGTTTTTTGAGCCAGGGTTTCTCTGTGTAGTCCTGACTATCCTGGAATTCACTCTGTAGACCTTGCTAAGCTCAAACTCAGAGATCTACCTGCCTTACTGGGATTAAAGGCATGTGCCACCATACCAGGCTCTCCAGATGATTTTATTTTTAAGATTTATTTACTTATTATGAATACAACATCCTGCCTCCATGTATGTCTGCAGGCCAGAAGAGGGTACCAGATCTCATTTCAGATGGTTGTGAGCCACCATGTGGTTGCTGGGAATTGAACTCAGAACCTCTGGAAGAGCAGCCAGTGCTCTTAACCTCTGAGCCATCTCTCCAGCCCTCTTCAGATGATTTTAACTAAAAAAAATTAACCAGAAAAAACTTTAAAAAAATATTTACATATTGCCTTAACTCCGTAATCCAATGTCCTCTCTCCTGAGTCATCTGTCATTTATCTAGGCCAAAGGGACTTAATAAGATGTCTTTGGGGGGGGTGATCCTGAAGGAGATGAGGAAGTACCAATGGCACAGAGCCAGCTTTCCAATCACAGAGAGTCTTGATGTTTGGGAGATGGTGCAAAGCAGGGACAGCACATGGGGAGGGGTGTGGGTGAAGGCGTGGCTTCAGTACACTCCCCTTCCTGCTCACACTCCTTCCATATGTCCCTTTTGTTTCTTGGGTCATTTACCAATATTTTGATCTAGGCTTCAACACACCCTCAACTGGCCCCCAATTTCCTTTCTTATTTTAAGTCCCAGGAGCCTGCTTCTCATACCTGCCACAGCTGGACTGTTTAGGTAGCATCTCCCAAAGACCTTGTCCCTGTCATGGCAGCTCTTCTTATCTCAGAGTCCGAGCGCTTCTAGCCTCAGTGTGTGGAACTCCCATGAAACCTTTCACGAGCACTGGAAACTCCTTTTGGTAGGTTGACAATGGATAGGATTTCTTTGGAGTAGTCACTCCAATCAAGAGTAGAGTCTATGTCTCCACCCTTTAGATGGGGCTTGTCTAGGACATGCTTTGACCAACAGAAGTGGTGGGAGTGAAGGCTGGGCTCAGGTGACCTGGAAGCATTTGCTCTTATCCTCTTGGAACCAACTAGAACCAACTGGGCTAGTTTTCTGAAGAAATGTGGCCTAGTTGGCAAGTATCATCAGTCACTGGACTGAGGCACCCACCCTAGCTGAAACAGCAAATAGCACTTAGAAGTAAGAGATTGTCTAAACAGATGTGACAGGATCTGTGGAAGACACATGAGGCTGACCTATGGCCTTCACACATATTTTCATACACATACATGAGCAAATACACACATACAGATATCTCTCAGTAGAGACTGCCATATTGAACAGTTCTAGAAAGGCTCCTGATTGCCTAAAGCCCTGGCTTCCTGTATTTGGGGCATGGACAGGATAGGGGTTTAAATATGGAGATACCCCACATGGCCACAGGGATTCCTGCTGGAGTCCTGTGGAGGGGACAGCAGTAAGGCCTAAAAATTCAATCTCAAACTTGGTAATTTGTGCCAAGTTGAGGTTCTTCCTTTAAAGAGATGGAAGCAAGGGCTGGGGCTCTAGACTAATGGTAGAGATGTTGCCTACTATGTACAAGGCCCATTGATCCCCAGCACTTCAAGAGAGGAGACAGGACAGGGGGACAAAACCTCTTCAAGTTAAAGATAAAAAGTCAGATGACCTCATCTAACCCCAGCGTGGCAGCCCCTCAGCCCTGGGCCCACTCACCTGGCTCAGGCTCTGCCTTCCTGTCTTCTGCAGAGCCACAATGGCCCTTCCCAGGGGATAGCCCAAAGCAACCACTGGTCCGATGAGGTCTTGCTCCTCTTTGGTCAGGGCAGATAGCAGGTCAGTTGCTGAATCAGGATGTAATCTATAGGAACCGAGGGGCTGGGGTGTCCCACTCAGAGGTGGCAAGCAGGTGTATGGGCTGAGAGACTGAAACATAGACAAGATGACATGTCAGTAACCAAAGGAGGTCACAGTCACCTGGGCTGGACACCTTAAGAGGTGGCTTTGTGTCCCACTTTATACACATTGTGGAGAGATGTAGGTCTGGCAGTGCTCAACTCATTTTCTATTCACTTTGCCAAGATGTCAACAGAGGCCATCTTAGAACTATGTCATCAAGCTGTTAGGAGGCATAAGTCAGAGCATGAGCAAAGTGATTAATTAGCAAAGGGCCTGGCATGCAGAAGCTGTCAGCAAAGGTTAGTGTTTCACTTAGCACTTACAACACTGCAAATGAAATGTGATAGGTAGCCCAAGTGTAGTGGTAAATGCCTGTAATCATAGCTATTTGGGAGCTGAGGCAGGAGGATTGCTTGACTCCAGGAATACAAGGTGAGCCTGGGCATCATAGTACAAGGTCAAGTCAGGAAGAAATAACAAAAGACAGACAGACACGGTATAGGTCAGTTGGTAGCATGCCTGTCGGGAATGTACAAGGTTCTGGGCTCAGTCCTTAGTGTCTCACATACAGAGCATGATGGTATGTGCCTGTAATTCCAGATGCAAGAGGATAAAAAATTCAAGGTTGTCCTTAGCTACCATTACATAGCAAGTTTGGGGTCAACCTGGCTACATGAGATTCTGTCTCACAGAGAGAGAACATATCATCCTATTATTTTGAATCACAGATTGAAATCCAGGGACAGAGAAGTCAGTGACCTGATACACAGTACACATTTGAGATATGAACCCTGCCCTGAGGATGTTGTACCCTACAATTTAGTGTAAGGGAACATCTTCCCAGCCACGCCCTCCTAGAGTTTGGCTGGCATCATGAGGAAGGACTTCCCAGCTAGAAATCAAACTAGCAAGGCATTGGTGGTACACCATCAGACCTTTCCCCACCCCCGAGGGAACTCCAGCTGCTGCCTTGCTCCTGGGTCTTGGTGCATATGGGGGACATATGAGTTGCCCGGCTGTCACCACTATCTCAGGGTTCTCTGTTATGACTCCTCCTTTTACCCTAAATAGAGGACCACCCAGATTCAAGCCATAGCATTACTCTTGTCTTTGAAGAAGAGTCTTAGTTACTGTCTACCTCAGTTTCCCTATACCTCATATTCCTGCCCCAGCAGTCCCTCAACTAGGGTTGTTGCTCAAGTTGATTTTTTTAGACTTGTTTTTTAGGCTTGTTTTATGACTATGTAGCACAGAGTAGCCTTAAAGTAGCCATGTAAGCCACGGTTAGTCTCACGCTGGCAATCCTGTTGTCTCCTGCGCTGTTGAGATCACAATCGTGTGTCACCATGCTCTGCTACTTAAATTGGTCTTGAATCTTTCTGACTTCAACATCTAGAGTCTGTCCAGCCCTGGAAGCCCCTCCTGCAATGCTGACCCATCCACTTTATAAGTAGAGAGGGTGGCATAGAGTGGTCCAGCAACCCAGCCAGACTGCTGACTCTGTCTTTTGGATTCAATTTCTTCTTGGCCTTATTCTGTAGTATCCTAGTGTCTGACTTGGAGCCAGAACACTGTGTCCAAGCACCATATTCTGCTACCAATCTGGGTCTACCTCAACCTTCCCTGGACCTAGGACTTGTGGACTCTGCAATTTACTCATTTCTTAAGAAAAAGATATAAATACTATATTTGGCACACGTGGGCTGCCCGGAGCTAAGTTTCTCTGGACTCCAGGCTCACTTCTGCCCTCGGATCTCTCTGTGCACTCCCTCCACCCTGGTCTGGCCAGCTGACCCTACACCCCAGTCCGGGCCTCTCCCGACATCCTCTTGACCAACTGTCTTGCCCTGTGGGTATCTGGTGGGAAGCAACTCTTCCCTGAATATTTTTTGCTTGAACTACCAACTTCAGCAGCCCGCTCCGTGTGAAGCTCCAGAGCTGAGTCTGAGGCAGGTTTTCATTGAGCTCCCCCTGTAGGTAGGGTCCTTTGCTAGGTGGTCGGGAAACGAAATGAGTATTACCCCATCCCACCCCTAAAAGAATTCATATTCTACTGCAAGAGAAGGATGGGACTAGAAACTGATTGGTGGGACATATGCCTATGTGGGAACTCGAGAGAGGGGAAAGCCTCCAAGCAGAATGTACTAGGCCACAGGAAAGACAGGACCACAGGGCCAGGTGGGAGCCGATGGGTAGAGAGTAGTGCAGGGAGGAAGGAACCTAGGCTGGGGACCCTCAACTTGGAAGGCCTTAGCTTAGAACCTGTGGCTTTGGAGGAGAACACAAAGTTCTTACAGCGACGGTGGGTTTGTGGCTCCGCAGTGGAGGTATGGCCCCGGCAGTGGAGGGTCGTGGGGGCAGCTCAGGGACGCTGGGGGGCTGCGGTGCTGGACCAAGGGCTGGTGCCAGGGTGGTACTCAGACTCAAAGTGCGGTGGCCTCGGAAGCGATGCAGAAGGGCTCGAGGACACGTGGCTAGTCTGCTCTCTGAGAACCGTCGCCGGGCACCAGACAGCTCAGACCTCATGTTTCTCAGCACGTCCAGGGAGCAGCGGCGATGACCTGCAGGGGAGCTGGGCTGAGGGCTGCTGGACTCCATCTCCTCCTCGCCGGCGGAGGAGGCATCTTCCTCGTCTCTCTTCTTCTCTGTTTCCTCTTCTTCCTCCCCTTCTTCCTCCTCGGGAGGTTCTTGTAGTTCAGCAACTGGGCCTCGGACTTCAGCAGATGCAGGCTCCAGACTGTATTTTGGACTGGCCAGTAAGAACCAGGCTGGAGGAGCCGATGCAATCCCCAGGCCATTGCACTGGTGGGGAGAAGGGCCTCTGATGAGTGCTTCCACGCAGAAGAGAGCCTTCCTTTCCAGGCTGAAGTCATACTGCAGAGAGACGGGTGATGTGGGGCTCAACTGTGCCACTGCAGCAAGCCAGGGCTGTGGAGACAGAGCCCTCAGTGCTGCCTTGGGGACCCTGTTCAGTCAAATTTGCCAGGAAAGCTCCTGGCTCTAAACTCTGGGTATCCTCATAGCCCACTCCCATCTTCCTTTCCAGGTGTTTCTGGGGCCCACAAACATCATAACAGTTCAATGGCAAACCCTGACATGAAGGACAAGTCAATAATGTGTTAATAGAGTAACCGCGGTAAAACTCCAACATTTAAAACCCTTCGCCATCAGTGTGTCACTGAACAACAGCTACCTCAAGACACTCCAGTAGAAACAGCTTTTGTGATCTGGGTGTAAGGATTCAGGCATTATGCTGGCCTGCCTCTGTCACCTGGCAGAATGCACTCAGGCAGTACCCTGGTCAGCCCAGGTACAAAGGACCTGCTCTCCTTCCTCTCTTCTCTTTCCCGCTGTTTCCTTGGGGCTGGCAGGACTTTTCCTATCTCCCTCTCCTCTTCTGTCATATCTCTCTCTCTCTCTCTCTCTCTCTCTCTCTCTCTCTCTCTCTCTCTCTCTCTCTCTCTCTCTCTCTCTCTCTCTCTCTGTCTCTGTGTCTCTGTGTGTGTGTGTGTTTACCTCTTTTCTCTTTCCTTCCCTCCCCTTTCTAATAAAACGTCTCACTAAGCTCTGTCTGACTGACATGTTTTTCCCCCTTCTAGGTCAACCTCACTCAACATGGAAACCTCCAAGGTCCCCCACATGCTTTATCATAACACTGGGGCCTTAGTTCAGTGGGCAGAGAGCTTGCCTAGCACCCACAAATCTCGGGGTTCCAATCCCGGCACACCCATGAGCTCAGCACTTGAGAGGCCGAGGCAGGAAAACAGGAAGCTCAGGTCCCTCTAAACTATATAGTGAATTTAAGACCATCCTGGACTACAGGAAATCTTGTTTCAAAATGAGTGTGTTCTTGGCAAAGCAGCTTTCACCTGGGCCTGGACACCGGCCACAGAGCTGTCTCCTAAGAAGTGGGTTCATCAGAGAAACTTCCTCAGACAGCAGTAACACCTGTGCTCACCCCCTTTTCTGATACCCAAGATTGTTCCCAAGCTCAGAACAAGCAACAGCCTAATCTTCACTGTTGTTCCTTGTTGAGAGCAGGTTGGTGATGAGTGGCTGAGCTGTGTTTCTGTCTTTCTGACTACAGAATTTCCTCCACTGCATGTCAGGTCACTTAAAAGCAGACCAGAGCTGGGCAATGGTAGCACACACCATTAGTCCTAGCAGTGGGAGCAGAGGCAGACAGATCTCTGTGAGTTCAAGGCCAGTCTGGTCTACTGAGTGAATTCTGGGATAGCCAAAGATACACAGGGAAACCTTGTCTTGAAAAACAAAAAAGAATATCTTATAATACATTGAAATGAAAACAAGAAATACACGTTTGAGTAAAAAAAAAGAAAAGAAAAAATGGTTGGTTACTTTGGTATATGCACACATAAGGACTTCTGCCTAGTTGTCTTCTATGCAAGACAGGCAGTCAAGTTCCTCACCTCAGTGACACAGGCCTGTGTCAGAAAAAGGCCACAGTGCAGGGTGCAGGGACAGTCAGATCTGTGTACAAAGAGCAGGACCGGCGCCATGCTGTGTGCTCCAGAGGCCACTGGAACCTCTCCACATTCCCCCAGGTCCTCCATGCCCCCTCTCCTTCCTACACTGTGCTCTGTGCTCTCTGCTCTGAATCCCCTACTTCCCCTCTCCCTCCTGTGGTTTTTAAATTATTTCCCCCTACAAACCTTGACTTTTTTTTTTTACCTTCTCTCTCATGTGTTAGGTCCTACTTTTAGCTGATGTGAAATGATCTGAAGACGAGGACTAGGTATCAGGCTTGCTCGGGCAGTTACTGAATAAGTCGTCTTTGATGTCTGCACCTCAGGCTTCTCATGCGCAGAGTGAGTAAGAGCTGACTGGGATTTGACACTGCTCACTGTGTAGCCTTGGAACTCAGGGTCTTCCTGCCTTAGCCTTTCAGGTGCTTGAATTATATGGCTTGTGCTACCACACATGGGAGCCCCAGACCAGCTTCAAAGTTCTCAGCAATTTAATTTTCAAGTTATATGGATCTGTGTCTACCTTATGATATATCTATGCAAAGGTATAGGCAGCTCCTTCCCCAAGCTACCTACAGCTGTAGCCCATGTTTTAATATACATATAAATGCAACATATCTTTCCCCTAAAGTCTTCAAGTAAACTTGATTCTGTAGAAAGTTAAGCTGGGTGTTGGTGGCTCGTGCTTTTAATTCCAGCACTCAGAAGGCAGAGGCAGGCAGATCTCTGTGAGTTCTAGGCCAGCCTGGTCTACAGAGTGAGTTCCAGGACAACCTCCAAGCAATACAGAGAAACCCTGCCTCAAAAAACTAAAAAAAGAAAGACAGTTAATTATTTATATCCTGAGGCTATGGGTGGCAACCACTGCAGGACAGGAGGGAGAGGCTTGAGGTCCTTTCAGGCCCCAGGCAATGTGCTGGTCTGTGTACTATCCCCCTAATGTGCCCACAGAGTGAGTGCACTTTTCTTTTTCTTTCTTTCATTTTTTTTTCTTTGAGACATAGTTTCTCTATGAAGCCCCGGCTGTCCTGGAATTAGCTCTATAGACCAGGCTGGCTCTGAACTCACAGAGCTCTGCCTGTCTCTGCCTCCCAGGGGCTGGAATTAAAGGCGTGCCTGGCTAGCTGCTTGTGCTTTTTCACCAGAGGATTCTGGAAATGGAGTCTGATCCCCAAGAGTGATTCTAACAGCTGACGTGGGACAGAGGATGAAGTGGAGCACACTGGCATGACAAACAAGTGACACAAGCAGCTCACACAAGCAAGCAGGCTCTCAGCTCACCTAGGAAGTAACTTCATCACCCAGACACCAGACTTCTCCACGGAACCTTCTGGCTTATTTTCAGACTCCCAGACTCCTTAGAGGTCAGATCTGAGGACAGAGCTAGACCATCAGAGACTCACTTACCATCGAGCCCAGCAGAAGCTCTCTACAGTCCCGGACACTGAGCTCTGGAGCAGGATGGGGCTCTGTGTCCATCACAAAGCCCTTGGGCACCTTGAAGGGGACACCATCAAGGGCATTCATTCTGCCAGAGATGGCGAAGCTGTCTCAGAAGAACTGAGCACGTGGTGTGGTGGCAGGGAGAGGGTGTGGAGTCCTCAGAACCAGGCTCAGGCCACACTCTCCTGCGTGGAGGCCCCACAGCTGGAAGGAAAAGGAAAAGGGGCCAGTGCTGTACAGGGAAGAAATAAGTAAAACCCAGAGTATCCAAATAGACTATTTTCATGTCGAAGTCATGCATTACCAGGCATGTTCCAGCTGTGCCCACAGGCTGCATGTACCCCAAGATAGCTATGAATAGAACCCAATACTAAACTATAAACTTACTTAAAATATTATAGGGTTTTTTTTCAATTGTTTTCCTGGTTTGGTAATTCAAACCTGTGCCATTCTCCTGCAAGTTGTCCTCTGACCTCCACACACGCTATGGTATATATCTCATATACACAATAAATAAATAAAGAATAACAAAATAAAGCGGAAAATTATATGACTGCACATCTCCATAGATTCAGGATGCCCTGGAGCTGGAGTTACAAGTGGTTTGACCATAAGCTACCTGATGTGAGTGCTAGGGACTGAACTCTGGTCCTCTTCAAAGTAGGAAGTGTTCTTACCACTGAGCTCTGGCTGAGCTGCTATATTATTTATTATTATTGTTGTTGTTGTTGTTATTTTCGGAAAAGGAGGGAGACCCAAGCCCAGAGCTTTGCATCTGCTAGGCAAGCACTCTACCTCTGAGCTACATCCCCAACCCCTTTTCTATTATTTTTTAAGAAACATGGAGCTAGGGATAGAGCCCAGTGTAAGAGTGTTTGCCTGTTCTTCGTGAAGCTCTGGACTCGATCCCCAGAGCAACAAAATCAAACTCCCAAACAAAACAAAAACAAAGCCCACACAAAACAAAACAAAAAACCTTAAGTCACAACAGCACTGGTGGGCATGGAGGTCTTTACAGATGTTGACATTACACTTCATGATGGAAATGACAGTAGCTTTGTAGATGTCACACAGAGGAAGAAAGGCTGGAAGAATGCCTCCAGGCAATGGAACTGCCCTTTGCCAATAGTGATGGCCCGGTGGTAGGGCAGCTAGTAGCTCTTCTCCAGGGCGGAGGATGCAGCAGTGTCCATCTCTTGCTCCAAGTCTAGAATAACATAGCATAGCTTCTCCTTGATGCCATTACAATTTCCCCCTTGGCTATAACAGGGAAACTGTAGCCAGGCTCAGTCAAGATTTTCAGGAGGTAACCTATCAGGTCCCAACCAGCCAGGTTCAGATGCAGGATGGTGTGGGCAAGAGCATAGATGGGCGCTGTGTAGGTGACTCTGTCATCAGAGTTCATCATGATGCTGGTGGTTCCACCAGGGGTGTACAGGGACAGCACTTCCTGCAGCGCCATGGAATTGCTTGGGTGTCAAAGGTTTTGAACACAATCTGGGTCATTTTTTTATGGTTGCTCTTAGAGTTCAGGGAAGCCTCAGAGAGCAGCATGGAGTACTCCTCAGGGGCCATAGGTACCTCATGGTAGAAGGTATGGTGCTAATTACCTCCATGTTGTCCCAGTTGGTAGCAATGCCTTGTTCCATGGGATACCTCAGAGTCAGGATACGTCTCTTATTCTGGACCCCAGCACCCAGGTAGGAGTCCTTTTGGCCTTCTGGTGTTGCGAGTAGCCCATGATGGAGGTAAGGACTGCAGGGTATGGTTTCTGACAAAGCTGACTTGATAAATGTAGCCATGGCACTGTCATGGAGAACTGGGTGACTGGTTTAGACTGGCAGTGGAGGAGCCCAAGAGGTCTGTCCTCTCCGGGAAGATGTGAAGTGTCTTAGAGTTGTTTACAAAGACTAATATTGCAGAGCCAGTCCTGGCGCACAGGTCTGTAATCCCAGCTCCTTAGAAGACTTAGGCAGGAGGGTCACAAGTTCAATGCCTACCTGGGCTACGAAGTAAATTTAAGTCTAGCCTGAGCAATCTAGTGAGACTTAGTCTCTTTTTTTTTTTAACATTCCAATCCCAGGTCCCCTTCCTTCCTCTCCTCCCCCTCCTCCCACCTCCCAACTACCCTACCTCCCATCTGCTCCTCAGAGAGGGTAAGGCCTCTCCTAGGAAGTCAACTATGTCTGTCCCATCACCTCAGTGAGGCAGGACCACGCTCTCCACCCCTGTCCCCTGTGCATAGACTGAGCAAGTTGTCTTTCCGTATAGAATGGGCTCCACAGTTTGTGCATTAGAGCTAGATCTTGGTCTCACTGCCAGTAGCCTCATATACTGCCCAAGCCATACCATTATCACCTTATTCAGGGAGCCTAGTTTAGCCCTATGTAGGTTCCCCAGTTGCCAGACAGGAATCAGTGATCTCTCACTAACTCAGGTCAGCTGATTCTGTGTGTTTCCCCATCATGATCTTGACTCCCTTTGTCATGTCACTCCTCCCTGACTTTGTACTCCAGGAGCTCCGCCCAATGGTTAGTTGTGGATCTCTGCATCTGCTTCCATCTCTTTCTGGAAGAGGATTCTAGCTTCTCTGGGGTTGTGGATTGTAGGCTGGTTATCTTTTGCTTTATGTCTGGTATCCACTTATGAGTGAGTACATAGTATATTTGTCTTTCTAGGTCTGGGTTACCTCATTCAGGATTTTTTTTCTAGTTCTATCCATTTGCTGCAACTTTGAAGATGTCATTGTTCTTACTGCTGAGTGTAAGTGTACATTTCCTTCATCCATTTTGTGTTTTGTTTTTTAAGATTTATTTATTTATTGTGTATAGTGTTCTACCTACATGTATGTCTGAATTTCATGACAGAAGAGGGTGCTAGAACACATTACAGATGTTTGTGAGCCACCATGTGGGTGCTGGGAACTGAACTCAGGACCTCTGGAAGAATAGTCAGTGCTCTTAACCTCTGAGCCATCTCTCCAACTCTGAGACTCTATCTTAACATAAAAGTAAAAAGAGGGCTGGGGCTATAGAGCTCAGTGGTAGAGTGCTTACATAGCAGGCAGGAAGCCCTCGGCTAATCCCCAGTATCACATGTATATAGATACACACAAAGAAAAGGCTAGCCATGAAGAAATTACTGATAAACTGGATTAAAGTCAGACGTCCTAGTCATCAGAGTTTAAAGACAACCACAGCATGGGAGACAATATTTGCAAAATATCACCTGACAAGGGACTCATATTCAGCCTATACAATGAACTTCTATAAACAATAGGAAGTTTTAAATTCTCATTAGGAGGATATCCAAATGGCCAATGGATACAGGGTGTATTATTTAACCTCTTTAGCTATTTGGGTGTATAATGTAAAACAGTGATCCAACACATACCCAGTCAAGAATGGCTCAAATTAAAAAGCCTGGCCATGACATGCTGTTGAAGATGTGAACATCTGTAACTCATGCACTGTTGGTAAGGACCTCAATCAGGACTGGCCCATAGTATCTACCAAGGCTAAAATTCTAGAATTAAAAACGCATCTTCATATCACTTGTCTTTTACACAGGGTTTAATATTGAGTTCACTGCCTTGAAAAAAACAATAGCTTTTTCACATGAATTCAAACTCACAACTACTTATAACATAAACTAAATTCCTGATCACAGCCTGGAAGTTTAGTAACAGTGAGGAGCCTGGACCAGGATATGCCTCCGGCCCCACACAGGATGCCACAAAGCCCTGATGCTTGGGGTCACTGTGCGGTCATTCTGTTCCCAACAGAACAGCTATGTAGAGATGCTGGGTGGGTAATCTGGGAGCAGACAGGTCAAGTGAGGGCAGGTGGCCAAAGCCCTTAATTCCCTCACATCTCCTCCCCAACCTGTCTGTTCTCATCAGTGTCTTCCTGCCTTCAGGACTCATCAATTCCTGCCCGAATCTATGTCGCTGCATGTCAGTGGGTGGTTCCTTATGCCCCCTATGGACAAGATCAGGCAAGCCTTGGAGTAAGACTACCTTGTCGGCTCATTTTTACTGGGGACCTGTGAGGCTCAGGAGAGATCAGCAGGTTTTACCATCCTCAGATTTATCTTTCAGCTCAGCTGCCACTGAATTTTGAATTACAGAGAAAGAAAAGCCCAGATACGATTGAGGCTCCAGTGTAAGTCCGTGCCCACTTGAGATAACAACCCCCCTCCCCATCTCCCACTTAGCATCTGCATCCCTAATTGTTTTCTTCACAGTCCTGAGCTGACTACTAGTTTGCAAACTCTGATGGTCTCTTTCTGAAGAACAGCAAATGCCGCAGTGGAAACCAGAGCTAGTTAGAACATTTTAAGAGGCTGCATCAGCGTGCGTCTGTGGAAGGGGCAGCCTAGTCCTTGCGAGGCTTGGGAAAGCTTTAGGAAACACTTGGGCATCAAAGGGTAGGAAATGGATTGTGAGCAGAAAAAGGTTAAAGAGCAGGCAGCCAGAGAAGGAGCAGCGTGAGACAGACAGCGGACACAGGAATCTGCAGGGTGAGGTGAGGGGGTCACAAGTGAGTCAATGGTATGTGCAGTTTGCAGCAAAATCCAGGATAGATTTGGGTCCTGCTGGGGAGGATTTAGAATTTTTTAAATGTTTATTTATTTATTTTGTTTCTATAGGGCTCGAGGAGAGTTTTGGGTGAATCTCCTGGAACCGGAGCTAGACAGTTGTGAACTGCCATGTAGGTGCTGGGACTCAAACCTGGGTCCTCTGGAAGTGCAGCCAGTTCTCTTAATCACTGAGCCATCTCTCCAGCCCTGAGGACTTTGAATTTTGAGTTAAGTTCTGACTCCAATCAGAGGTGGCAGAGAAAGTCATAGGGGCTGGGATGGGGGAGGGGTATACAAGGAAAACAAGGCTTCAACAAACTGTATACTTTTGAACTTCTCAAATTCCCAGTGAAAGTGTGCCCACTGGGCAAATCATGGGGCTGGAGACTGGATTTTGCTCAAGTGACAGACCTAGGTGGGAGACTAGTAAGGAATGACTCCCCACTGTACTCTACATGACTTCATCCTTGCTTAGAGCTTCAATTGTCTGCCAGTAATTCCCACCTTCTCCGTGACTCTTCTGGGATCAAACTCAAACACCTGCTTCCAAGGTACCTCCTAAGGAGCTTAGAGTTCCTCTGATTTAACACACACAAAGTGAATTTTATCTTTCTTACCTCAAACACATTCTCCTTGCCAGAGGTCTGTCTGAAGGCAAGATAACGTGGCCCAGGTGCTAACACACACTCAGACACTTCACCACCTTCTCTCAGATCCTCTGCCAAGTTTCTTAAGAGTCTGTGTCACCTCCATGGCTAACATGAGAATCCAAGCTGGTGTTACCTCACTGAACAGCTCACCTCTGTTTATCTTCTCCTGTGCTATTATTGCTCCACACACAGACGTGTGATCATTGCAGACTACAAAATTAAGCCACCATTCTTCCTCTTTCCATAGTTCTCAGGTTCTTTCTAAATAAAAATTCAAAATCTGAAGGCTTGTAACAGGTAGACTGATCCGTGTGTGTGTGTGTGTGTGTGTGTGTGTGTGTGTGTGTGTGTGTGTGTGTGTGTGTGTTATGAGACAGGCCTTCTCTGTGTAGCCCTAGCTGTCCTAAAACTTGCTTTGTAGATCGGACTAGCTTCGAACTTACAGAAAGCTGCCTGCCTCTGCCTCTAAAGTGCTAGGATTGAAGGCATGCACCACCACACCTAGCACTAGACACATATAACTCCAGCCAGAGTAGCCTTCATATGCCATGGTCCGTTGGCCCCCGCAGCATCTCTGCACAGCTACTCCTGGTTCTGCCTGTTTTTCTGTCTCTTCTCACCAACTAAAAGCCTTTTTTTTTTTCTTTTCCAGAGCTGAAGATCATCTGCTCAGAGCAGCTTTCTCCACCAGAAGCTTTTAGTAATCTCTTAATCATTGTTTGAGGCAGTTGAGTCCTCCAGAAATGTCCTTTAATTTCTAAACAGTTAAGGATAGTCTTCAGTTTCTGATCTTCCCACCTTCATCTCCTAAATGTGGAATCTGGCTTTATTGGGTGCAGGGGACTGAAGCCAGGGCATCATGCATGCTAGGCCAGCACTGTGCCAAATGAAGTACATTCCCAGTTCCTGATACCCCTCCTTTGACTCTGACCCATAGTGTACACAGTTTATGTAATCTCACTTAAATGTGTTATAAGTGTATCTGAATTCAATTCCTACTCTGTGATCTCATATAACCTCCAGAGTACTCAAAGTACAGTTTTTGATTGTTGTTATTAATGGCCATTTTCTTTTTAACCTCTGTTCTCTGGGGGGTTAGAGGATATTTCTTAGCATCAACCATGGGCATTTTGTATGAAATATCTAGGCAATAAAAATACACATGGGTTAGCAGTTCCCCAGGTAGCACTATCACAGTGGCAATGAAGAACTCTATCAGTGCAGCTATGGAATCAGTGAAGGGCACTCTAGACGGAGTAAGATGGAGAAAGCTTTCACAAAGTTACTTCTCTCAACACCAGGAAGGCAGGAATCCTGTTCCCTCCTTTTTACTCTCTTAGCACCTAAACTATAGTGATGGAAAACAAAAAGTCATCTTCCAAAGGACACAGCTTAATCCCTAGCTTCCTTAACCTCACATGAATTAATAAAGCAGAAACTACCTGCAGATGTGCAGTTATATAAGTCTAAAACCACCTGTCTCAAACGCCTCAGTTTTTGCTTCAGAGATTATGAGTAAACAAGTTTATACCAAAGACAAACAGAATCCTCTTTGGAAACAAAATCTTCAGCAGTAGCAGCTGGGTGTGGCAATCAGGAACTACTGTGTGGATGTATACAAAAGTTCAGAGGTCACTCAAGTTAACTTACAAGGGAAAGCAGAGACATGTATCAGCAGAAAGGAGCATTTTCTAACATATCATTAAAAAAGCAAACTGGAAATAAGACACATTTTGTACTTACCTTGTAATTCCCAGGAGAGCTTCTCTGTGGACAGAATATGAAGACATGAACAGTATAACAGATGGTGTAATCCCAGCTAAGCGTTTTAAAAAGTCACATGGACATAGAAACATAAAGGATTTTAGAGTGATTAAACTGGTTGGCTTGTTGCAGCAAATTCTCAGACAGCAGGAACTCAGGTACTCCAACTAAGTATAGTATTTAACATACAATGAATCTCTCATGGCTTGTTACTCTTCCCTATGTTTATATATAATTCCTTAAAAGCTTGTGTTTGCCTCTCACAAGTCCTGGTTATGGCATGAGCATATTCTTTTTTTCATACAGAATATAATTAATCTGGGATTGGAGCAATGGCCTAATGGTTAAAAAGCACTGGCTGATCTTCCAGAGGACCAGGGTTTGATTTCCAGCACTCATACGGTGGCTCAGAACCATCTATAACTCCAATCCCAAGGGATCAGACTCTCTCTTCTGGCCTGTGGCACCACGCATGCATGTAGTATGAAGACATACATGCAGGCCTAATGCCCACACATAAAATAACAAAACATATCTCTAAGAATATGATTAATCATAAAGTTAACTAATTGTTGATTTATCTTTGAATTTTATTTCTCCATTTGATTGAACATTGATGTTTAATATATGGAGAATTTAGGTAATATGTGAAAAATAAAAAAAAACAATTGGTAAAGGGCTGGAGGCTCAACAGAATTATAGATTCAAATTCTGTTGAATGAAAAGGCTAAGAAATGACCAAGGGTTGGGGGTGTAGTCATGTACAGCACTCACCTGCTCTTTCTAAGCCTGGAAAGAAACAGTGGCTGCTGCTACAACTCACAGGCAGGCGATACACCAGGAAACAGAAACTGAACAAAAATAATGCTCCCTTTATAAGAGCCTTGCCAGCACCGAATGTAGATCAGAAGCAGCTTCTTTCCAACCAGAGTTCCACGTCTCCTTTTCTGGTTCAGTTGCTGAATCTCCCAAGTCCCTGCTCATCAAAGCTGGCATCCAGTGACAAGGCCATCTCAGCACAACTCATACAACCCATCTTCCACCGCTGTTTCCCGCAGCTCATCTCAGGGCAGGAAGTGTTCAAATAAAAAGTGTACAGGCCTGTGTGGTAGGGAAGGCTGACTGTATCAGACCTTAGAACTCATGAACTCAGACACATCGGGAAAAATAGCCCGTCCCCTAGCAGTCTAATATAAAGCAGCTCTATTCCCTAGGTCTGCAGTAGAATGCACAACCTAGCAATGCATATTAAACTACACAAAGGGACAAAGGCGTTAGTATATCACACCTAAGGGCTCCCAATTCCGCATCATTCCCAAAGTTGACGGTGATCCTTCTTGCTAGCCACAGTCAAATTTTACAGCCAAAGGCTGTGTTTAAAATCATTTTTCTGCAACAAATACCTGTTTATTAAATTTAAACTTTGGAGTGAAATGCTTTAGCAATGTCAAGATGAAATGTGTTAAATGATTTGAGAGAGAATAAATCAGGGGCAAAGGCTCAAATTAAAAAGTGAAAATGGTATTTATTTAGCTTTTAGGAAATTAAATAACAAAACCCAGAATAAAGCAAAACAAAAACCATAACATGTCATATGACTGATCATGTCCAAGCACAATAGCAATTATTAATGAATATAAAAAATAAAATTTACCATTTGTATTTGCTCTTTTCCCAACTTTTACTACATGGATATTTTTAGAAGCTTGAGCTAAAGAAAAGAGGAAAAGAATCCCAGAGCTACCCCAGCCCCTACCATGTGACTGAGAATATGGTCCCATAGGGAAACACATTTCTATTGCTGGAGACCCACACAGTTAGATTCCTTGGAACTCTGGACGAGTACTTTCATGAGGAACACAGGCACTGTCTGTCAGAGCACCAGCCAACCTGGTCTGGCACTCGTCGGATTTTCTAAGCTCTCCAGAGAACAAAAGTTCTAAGCTGTCAGCATTCCTGGCAGCCCAGTCTAATGCCACTGCCATCGTTCTCAGTAGCAGCCTCCCAACTGCACCAAACTGGGAATTAACAGAACTGTAGGTCAAACTTTGACCTGTATTTCTGGGAGCTGGAAGGCAGTTGGTATAGGAAGATAAGGAGTAGTGCCTGCTAACTCTACTCAGTGAACACCTTCAAGGAGTAACCAAATGTGCTGACTGTATTTACCCACCAGTTCAAAACAAGCCTAGAACCAATGAGCAGGCCACACTAGACCAAGCCTCTCAAAACAGAGGCAGATTTAGTGAATGAAGGCCACTGCCCATACTAATAACCTCAGTTCATCTAGGCCCTCTCCAGAAGAACCTTATCAACCTCCTGCTTCAAAAGGTACCTCTGGCCAGGGCAGAGAACAGAAAGAAGCAGGACTTCCAGCTAGAGCAATGCCGCATGAAGTTTAAGTTGTGCAGAAGACTACAGCGTGAGATGACAGCATCACTAATATCTAGAGCTAGAGCTGCGGTGCTGGCCTGCTGGACCACACTCCTGGAGGGTCTTAATGCAGCTTAACGGCCGTTGCCCAGATGTCGTTGCTGGGGATCGGGGGAAGGACCCATCCTTGGGGAACGGAGTTGCCTTTAGGATGATCAGATGGCACCAGGTACTGATCCCAATCATGCCTTAATAAGAACATTACAGAACAATGTTTATTTCTGGTTTTCCCATGCAAGACACTCATTATATTTCATACCTAGGATACTGTTTTCAAATGACAGATGTACTAACCTGCTACAGAACTGGTTTTCTGGGAAGTATGCCAAGGGTCACATTAATGTACACATTTAAGGAAAAACTTAAGTTATAACTGTGTAATATTTGTAGATTCTGTATTTGTAATCTCAATCTCTCTCTCTCTCTCTCTCTCTCTCTCTCTCTCTCTCTCTCTCTCTCTCTCTCTCTCACACACACACACACACACACAGGGCGGAGGCTAACCTTGAACTCCTAATCCTCCTGTTTCTACTCCCCAAGTGCCACCACACTTGGCTATATTGGCAAATTTCAATCATCCCATGTGGCATTTTCATGGACACAAATTCAGAGACAGAGAAAAAATAACCGCCACCATCCTGCTTTCTTCCTTGCAGTTCTTACAGTATAAGTTAGCATCCTTTTTGTGGTCTACTCTGTGCCATGTTGTTCAGTTTTGTGCTCCTTACTGGTGACTTTACTGTTTAAAATACCTGGTGAAGTGCTATTGCTAAATGTGAGAGAGTTGTGAGGCACCTTGTGGAGAAGATAATGTGCTCTAGACAAGCTTTGTTGGACACAGATTATAGTATCACTAGCCCTGATGCAATGCTTATAATCAACAGAATAAATTATGCTAGGTGTCTTCAAACATACACATGAGACAAGGTGGTAATCAGCTAATAAGAAAAGTAAGACTAAGGTTGGCTCTGCAGTTAAGAACACTGGCTGCTCTTACAGAGGATCTAGGTTTGACTTCCAGGTTCCACATGGTGGCTCACAACTGTCTGTCACTCCAGTTCCAGAAAATCTGATGCCTTCTTCTGGCTTCCATAGGCAACAGGCACACATAAGGTACAAAGACACACACTCAAGCAAAATATCCAATCGCATAAAATTAAAAAAAAAATCAAGACAAGAGGCTCAGCTGTCTCCTTCAGGTTCAGTATTCTGTGACTCAATGTTCACAGTAACTTGAGTGAACACCCCAATCATCAAGAATATGTTTAAAGGCAAAAGTTAAAACTCATCCTGAAAAATAAATGTGATATGCCAGAAAATTCCTTCCCAAGATTTAGAAATTACTAGAGTGTTGGAAGGAACCTCAGTTCTTTTCTTTGAGACCCCCCAAGGTCCTAAGATGTTTTAGCCTGGAAAACAACAAAATGATGCCAGGCAACAAGTTTATACAGTCCGGAACATCTACTCTTTTACTTTGTTTTACCTCCAGACTACCCAAAAGACTGCATGTAGGCAAGAGGCTTTGCTAAAGCTCAAAGAGCACACGCTAGTCTACCATCTCCATTTTATAGAAGAGGGCATCATAACCCAGACAGCTGAGAATCACCCAGCTCCTGAGTAGCTGGTTCAGCCGAGAGCATTGGGCTTTAACCTGCAGGCACTCAGGCATTAGCATCAGGCACTCAGGCCTTAGCCTCTACAGGCAACTATTCAGGAAAAAAAGGTTTCTCTTCCTGGGTTGACTTGGCAGCAAAAGAGAATTAAGAAAACAAGGCCAGCTATGGTGATGCTGTCTTTAATTCCAGTACTGAGGAGGTGGTGGCAAGTAGATCTCTGTGTTCACGGATACCCTGGCCTACAGAGCAGTCACAGCTGAGTTTCTTTATCTGTTCAATTGGAGACACTGCCTTCCAAGAATTAATGTGGACTTTTTTTTTTTTTTGGTTTGACGAGACAGGGTTTCTCTGTATTGTTTTGGAGCTGTCGGTCCAGCCCAAGAGGACTTTTAAGATACTAGTGGCGCCAGGCACTCAGGAGGCAGAAACAGGTGTATCTCTGTGAGTTCAAAGCCAGGCAGCCTGGTCTACAACTTTACAAAGAGAAAAAAAAGATGCTAGTGGCCCTTCAAATTTGGCAGCACTATACACCCCAAAAGAACTTTAAAAAAAAATGCGACAAGAGACCTCAGTGGTGGAATCATCTCATCAAGAGCTTACTGCTACCAAGCAAAGGGAGAGAAGAGGCTGCCCTTCTGACCTTATCTGAATGAGTGCAGGCAGGGAGTGCTCAGCCTGGAGGTAATACTGGCGGAATGGCTGCAGGAGGTGAGCAAGTGGGAACTCATCTGAAAGAGAAAGGCACAACATGTCACCTTGCTTGCTGTAAAGAGTGCACTCTCAAGGCAGGTTACTGAGCCACTGATTATGACAACAGGATAACTTCATCTCCTCCATAACCCTGACTTCCACCATATAGTTGAGAATCTCAACTTATCGTCAGGACTTCCTTTCTGCTTAAATTGGGTTTCTCACTATAAAAAGAACTGTCAACTTAGATATTTCCTCCATCTCCACTGGAAAGGATAAACTTACCTGGATCTCCAAATAACTTGGACTCAATTTCTCGTTTCTGAAGTAAAAGTTTCTCTTTCTCTTTTCTCTGTTTCTTTTCTAATTCTCTTTTCCTCTCTTCCTCCTGTTCTCCTTCCAGCATAACTCGGAGGGCTCTCTCTTCAGCTTCATACAGTTCAGAGCGCTTTTTAATGAGTTTTCTCAGACGCTGAAGATGATGCTCAAAAGTCTCATCTGCTGAGGCAGGAGGACAGACCCCTGTGCAAAAAGAAGCAAATGGAGGTTCTTTTGCCTCTGTATTCCTAGGCAGAGAGCTCTAGGGCTGCAGCTTTCCTGAGTCACTCATCCTGGGTTGGGCTTTTCAGTGATACAGCTGCCTTTGAGTCCTCCATGCTCCTGTAAGTAACTCCTTCACTACACTCACTGAAAGATGTAGGATGGTGCATCTGCATTTGGCTTTGAAGTGCAGTGAGATCTTAAAATGGCAAAGGGATGGGACTCAAGGCTTCCAGACAAACAGACCAGCAAGGGCAGCTGAGGCAAGTAAATGGAAGGCAGGACTAAATACTACCAGAAAACCAACCCAGTTGGAATAAACTTCTCTGAAGAGGCTTTGGTTGCCTGGCTCAAGTGCTCGGGTTCCCTTCAGAGGGCAAGGGCAATCTGTGGAGATCTACGACCAAAGGTAACACGAGGAAAGCTCAGGACATCCATACTCTAGGCCCTATCCAGTCATTTAAATCTTTCCAAAAGCACTAGTTCAGGTTTAAAATGCGTTTGCAGGAGCAAGCATGTTTCCAGCTTGTTCTGGAGAGGCAAGTTAGGGGTAAAGGTGTGGCACACGGCAAAGGTCCAGCTACAACAGAACAGACCTATAGAGAAGTGTAGTGCTCTCCACCCCTACCTCTCTTTGCAAGTGAGTCACTGTTCTACTGCTGTGATAAGATCAAGACCAAGACAACTTATAAAAGAAAGCATTGAATTTGGGGTTGCTTATACTTTCAGAGGGTTAGGTTCTATGACAATCAATGTGGGGAGATTGGCAGCAGGCAGGCAGGCATGGTGCTGGGAGTGTTTGCCCTGATCCACAACCACGAGGCAGAGAGTTAACTGGGAATGGTATGAACTTCAGAAACCTAAAAGGTTTCAAAACCCCTAGGACACATTTCCTTCTCTAAGGACACACCTCCTAACCCTTCCCAGGCATTTCCACTAACTGGGGACCAAGCACTCGAATATTGGAGTCTATGGTGGCCATTCTTAAACCACCACAAGGGGCTAAACAGTTTGTGAAGCTTTCTGCTTCAGAATTTCAAAGTCACCATCTGTGACTCCAATTCCAGGGTATGGTATGGACACGCTCTTCTGTATATTGTATACACAGATAGCCACACATACACATTACTAAAAATA